GCCCCGGCAGGTTGCGGGAGGGCACCTGCGGAGGGAGCCAGCCTAGGGGGATGGTGGGGGGTGTCTTTTCGGGGGCGTCCCGCGGTGCAGTTTGCGGAGACTTCGCGGAGAGGGCTTGGTGCCGCTGGGGACGGGGGGGGGCAGCCGGCGCCTCCCGCCTGCCCGGGCCCAGCACGGGGGGGGACGGGTCCGAGGGTCTCCCGGCCCTTCTGTCCGCGGGGTGCGCTTGGGCCCCGCGGGGCCGGGGCGGGGGGAGAGGAGCGGGCTTGTGGCGAGCAGGGTGGGAACCGGCCCGGGGAGGCAGCAAGGAGCGCGGGGGAGCCGGAGTGTCCTTGGCCGCGATGCAGGGGGGGATGGCGGCAGCGCTCGTCTCCCCCCGCCCGCCCACGCCGGGCCGGGAACAATTGCAGGAACTTCTCCTTTCCCGGTGTCCCGGCCGCACACGCCGTCTAACGGAGGTGTAAGAGGAGGGGGGCTGCCCTGCCTCTGCCCCGGCTCCCGGGGGGGGCAGGATCCGGCCTTCCCGGTGGTGGTGCAGCCGTGCCCGGGCCTTTGTAAGCGCAGGACGAGGCTGCCTCCCCCAGCGCAGCTCATCAACCACCCCCTGCCCGGCCGGCTCCCAGAGAGGTCGGGCTGGCAAGCCCTCCCAAAGCGAGGGGGAGGGGAGCGGAGAGTGCTCCGCGATGGGGAGAAAGCAGGGGGAGGTAGCTCAAAAGGGGCTGGGGCTGGGAGCCGGACAGCGGGGAAAGGAGAGGGTAGGGGGTTGCGGCGAAATGAGAGCGGCAGAGCGGGCGGGAATCGGGGAGAAAGAGGGAGCCCGGTCAGGTCAGCGGCGGGATGTGCCTCCCCTCCGAGCCGGTGCAGCAGCCAGGCACAGGCACAGGCAGGAGCTGGAGGCTTTAGGAAAAGCTGCAGCAGGCTGACTTAGCCAGGCAGGCTGGTTACAGGCTGAAAGAAGAAACAGACACTTGGATTAAGTGATATGTATTTCCCACCACCACCAATGTATCCCACAAGAAAGACCTCAGGCTCTTCCCTCTTCCTATTCAGATTTAGGATTCGCAAGCAGTAAATTCGGCTTTTAGTCATAACACCTCTCTCCCACCACCCACCCACCCCTTTCCTTGCTTTTTCAGTCTGAGTCATCTTCAACACCGGTGTCTGCCTACTGCTGCCTTCCAGGGTTTCACGGCCTCATCTGGGGCTTCGGCAGCTTCCAGCTCATCCTCCCTCCTTGCCTTTCTCCCTGCCATTTGGCTGCTTCCGAATGTATCCCGCTTCACTGAGTTGGTCTGGAGTGCCAGCATACCCACCACTACCACTCCTTTCCTACTAGCCATAAGTAGTATGCTGATAAATAGCATCCAGGGACCGGTGAAGGAGTACAGGGTGTAGATAAACATGACATTACATTCCTCCCTCCTTTTAACGAGCTTCATTATCTGGAAGTGTCTGGCTAGATCAGGACTTTTCCATCAAGCTAAAAGGCTGGGCTGTTGACACCTTTCTCCCTCCATTAAATGTAGTTCATGATTACTGGCAGTGACCGCCGTTTGGAGCGTGCAAGGTCTGTGCAGAGAGAGATGTACCGCTGCAGTAGGAAGACCTTCCAGTCTCCTCTAGTCCTGGGCTTTTGAGGCAGGACTGCCCGCCGCTGGTGCTGTCAGGCAAAGGCTTCCGGCAGGCAACAGGTTAGCCATAGCCGTGTGCGGAGAGATGGAGGCAGCCGGCGTCAGCTTGCTCCCCTCCAGCCTCCCAGCGACAGAGCAGGCGCTGCTGTCCTTTTTTCATGGCTGAGAGAAAGCAAAGAAGCAAAGGTGTGTGAGCGTGAGCGCTGTACGTGCGTGCACAGAAAGGGGAGAGAGAGGCTAGCAAACATGGAATCAAAATTTTCCTCTCCCCAGTGGCTGTGCAAAGGAATGAAAGGTCTGCGCCGAGGTAAGGAGCCCTAATCCAGCCAGAGTGGTACACTCCGCTCTGGGAGAGAGAAGTGGGGGTTGGGAGGTGGAGGGGCCAGGGTAAGAGACAGAGTGCAAGATGGGGAGGAAGCAGGGAGACAAAAGAGAGCAAGAAAGAGAGAGAGGCTCTCGCCCCCTTCTCTCCCCTCCTCCCTCCTCGAGGTGGGCTGAGAAATTTCTAATCAGCACTTGCAGTTCCTTTCCTCCCAGCAATAATTCCTTTCTGTCATTTGTTTATCTTTAATTTTTGGCTCTTACATTTATCTTTTGTTTGGTTTTGTGCCTTGTGACTTCTTACTGCAATTTTGAAAAATCCCGCATGAGGTACGGTGGATTTGGTTTGGCTTCTCTTCCTCCTCTGCCCTCCTCTCTCATGTGCCTATATGTAGTGTTTTAATAACAACAGCAAAATGACGAAGAGTAGGTCATTCTTTATTCCTTCCTGTAAAGTAACATGGGTTAGGACATGTGTAGGACAGTGTTCTTCTCATTCTAGAAAAAGAAGGTACAATTTGTCAAGTATTCTTGAGCCCCTGTGTAAAGCTGATTCTTGTAAGCTACCAAGTGGAGCTTGACTCTGGAACGAATCCTCGCCTTGTGTTTACCATTATTCTTATTAATGCTGTAATTCCTATGCATTTAAACTAGAGAGAAGTGTTGCACTGGAGACTGGATTCCAGTTTTACCTACTGAACAAGCAGAGCAAATTTTCAGCCTAAGCTTGGAAAGATTACTGTTGGAAGACCGTCCACATTAAAATGTAATCTTCTTTTCCTGTTAAGTAATTTTTCACAAATAATTTAGGACTCGGTACCTGTTTACTCTCCCTGTGCAGAAGAGTCACTGCAGTGCAATGGTATCGTACAAAGGCAGGTAGATTTACTACCTCTGCTTTCCCAGCCACAGTTCAGGAGGGCAGGTAGAGGGGGCATGCTGGAGCAAAGTGGTGCTTTGCTGTTTCCTGGCCAACTGAGCACACTTCTTGGGAAGGCAGGGAAACGGATGGGCTGTTTTATCTGCCTTGATTTGTTAAAGTATTCATCTGACTTCCATTGACTGGCTGCACACAGTGGAAGTGTAGTGTAACTAGGAAGAAATATCACATTTTTCTTACTTACTATTTCTGTGGGATCACCTTGAGTGGCACTGTCACCAGTGGAAATCCCAATGCCATCCCAAGGACAGGTGTTATCTCTTGGTGTTAAAAGGCTTGTAGGGACTCTTCCCATTTCTTTCTTCGCTCTCAGGCTTCTGGTGGTGACCGATTGCTGAGTTCTGGGAATGATTTCTGGGATGCTGAACCAAGACTGTAAACTGGGAGCGATCTGACAATTGTAACAGCTTTGAGACAGTAATAAGACAGGATGGATTTGATCTGATGGCTAAAGCTGAGATAACTTACCTGAAAACATCCAGGGTGGCTTTTGTGAAGGTGTGAAAGGGGCAGGTCGTAAGAGAGTATGATGAGAGCATGGAAACTGATGAATAGAGACCACTAGCTAGAAAAGCCCTGAGCTCTTGTGAGAGACCTTACACAGCCCTTGCCATTTCAGGTATGTGTACTTCCCTGGGGAACTCAGGAGCCTGGGGAATGGCATCACAGAGAATGGGAAAGAGCAAGGAATAGCCCAGTGACTACAGCAGTCAGATTGCAGAGTTTGGGTTGTGTCCTATGTGGAGTGTTTTGGTACTGAGGTTCTGTGCTGTTAGTGCTGGGTGTGCAAAGCCATGTTTTCTCCGACTGCTTTGGTTTTGCCCAGTTTCAGGTTAAGCAGTTAGGAAGCTGAAATTCTCAGTTTTGCTACAGAGCTGTAAGAAGAGCTATCATGCTTTCATCTCAGGGGCAGCTCACCTATTTAGGCGTTGTTTTTTTGTCGGCTAAAAAAGTTGACAGTTAGTGGCCACAGAACTAAGAACACAAGTCTGATAGGAGTCAGATCAAGACATCCAATTCATTTCCCAACACAATCTGGTGGTGATGGCTTGTGCTAATTAATTGCATGAATTGGATTTAGTCTAGCATGAGTAGGCTAGGATCTGTGCAACACAATCTCAGTGATCCTATTGGCTTTCCATTTACCTGTTTATACATCTGCTTATCATTTCTGACTTTTCGTCTCAAAACCCAATTCTTGCACTTCCTGATTCAGTCTTGTTCCACATTTGAAAGTGTGGATGGTGTGCCTGTATTCAGCAGTGTGGGAAAGAATGCTTTTAATTGATGCATAGTAGCCAAGGCACAAAAAAGAAAGATACAGTGTCCTTTTGCCCAGCAGTTTATTTTATTTTGGGAAGTGATATAAACTACCCTAGGAGCAACTACCTCTTACCAATGAACATATGCTTTTTTGCCAAAGCCCTTAGGTATAGTCTAGAAGTAGTTTTCCTGAGGTGCCTGGTTCAGGACCCAAGGACTTGCTTTCTCCTGTGTGTACAACTGCCAGTCCTATCAATAAAGGTGCATAAATAAGGGGATATAATTTTTGAAGTTTCATAGCATCAGCTGTACTGCCTCAGGCAAGTGGTAGTGTGAGCCAAATAATTGCAAAGAAAGAGATATGATGCATGCACAGATAGGGAGACGCATGCTGACCTGAAGAATATTGTGTGCTGCCTTCTCTTGGACTCAACTCTTATCTGATGCGCTAGAAGAGTGCAGTCTGAGACCTATTACACTGAACGACGGTATTTGGCTTTGCCATTATTTACAGGGATTCTTGCTTCAGCTCAACTTTATTCTAATTAGATGATCTTTAAGGTCCCTTACAACCCAAACTATTCTATTCATAAGGACTTACTAAAGGCTGTCTAGTGAAGCTAAATCTTGCTGGGATTGATTTGGGCTCAGGGAAGCACAGGCTTCTCCAGAGGGCAACAGAAAAGCAAGAGCCTAAGTTGCCTTCTCTCTTACTTATGGAAGGTGCTTACGAAGATCAGACTCACAAGGCCCTTACAGATATTCCCCTCTATAATCACTTCCTGGGATTTTCTTTAGTTGCCACTAAAATGTATTAGCGATAGCTTGTGTGTAATGTTGATTGCATAGTTTGAATGCATAATCTGAGTATGGTTCAGGAAAAGAATCAGAGAAAGGAGACAAATACACATTGGCAATGAGAAACAAACAAAACCCATGCAATTACATTTCTGAAGGGTGATTATTTTTAAGCTCTTTCTCTGGGAGTGTATGTATACACATGCACAGACACACAAAACCCTGGATTCTTTTTATTTTCTGAGCGTAAGGATAACCGTGTTTTTAAAATGCACTTGATTAATATTTGCAGGCCTTTTTCTGGGGATTTAGGAGAACAAGAAAGAAGGAAAGCAAAATTGTCACGTAGTCATGAGACTCCCATGAGCTAGATTTTTCTTGTGAAAATTCAGACATTATGAAATTCACAATGAACAGGTTGCTTCTCTGGAGTGCAGAAATTACATTTCCATGATGATTTTGAAATAAGGGCTAATCTTGCTCTGTCTGCATTAGTCAAAACATAGCAGAGCACAATTCAGTTTCTTTTCAGTCCTGCTTGTGTTAAACCAAAGAGCTACCACAGTGCTGTCACTAAGCTTGTCATCCTTTTTCACATCTTTCACTCTTTTTTGCTCTGCTGTATAAGCAGCCCAGAGTTCTGTCCTGTGATACATCTGAGGCATTTCTTATCATGGCTCATCCCTTGAAGATTTTTGAGGTCAGCAGTTTCTTCTTGCAGTTGAGGAAGTGCTAAGCAGACCTCTGTAATTCACGTGCATGGACATAACTTCTAGGTGTAGAGCCACCATCTTGTCTTCAGGCAGTGGAACATCCTGTTGGCCTTTTTGATGGACGCTGTTACAGCAGTGACGTATTACATGAATCAATTCCAATCATTTTTTTGGGGGGCAGAGGAAATAACAGGTGTATAATTTCCCAGTTCAGCCATATATAATTATATATAATTTGACTTAAATAGATTGAGAGTTTTCACTGCTCCAGTCTCTCTGTATGAGGCACTGTGTTGCTCTTAGATGCTATTTCTGGAAAGGATCCGAAAAGAATACTTCAAAAGTTAATAAAGATCTTGGGATAGGATATAGAAGATGCCAGATAACTTATTGCACATCTCCCAAATGGTTTTGGGTAGAAAAAGAATTCTTGTGTTTTCCCAAAAGCTGCTTTTCTTTTCTTGATACAGATATTCACATGGGGGTGGGGAAAGTTAGTCAGATGAGAATTTGCTAAAGCTCAGCTAATCATTTATTAAAGCACTCCCTGGCCTGCCAAACTCATTAATCTCATTAACAAGGAAGGAGCGCTATGGTACATGGTTAGCTGAAAGCACTGTGTTTACTAAGCAGCGTACTTCGTTCACAAGGGAAAGATTTAAATATTCACTGTGTCACTGTTTTATCCCTGAAGCTGAAGTAACGTGATGAGTCACTTGACCAGCCCGTGTCACATGCTGGCTTTGGCCATAGACTGCATGGGGTCAGGCACAGAGTTGCCAGATACAGGTCTGACCCAGACCCAGTCATTTTTCAAGGCGTTTGTCATGTCTCTTGCATTCAGAGGCAACCTGGGAAGCATGGGTCTCCAGAGAGGAGAGAACAAGACGTCATCACTTGGTTCACCTTGAGAAGCAAGTGGTGGTATTCTCTTAATGATGCATGGCCCCCACATTTCTGCCCCTCTAGTCCCTGGGAAAAGGAGGCCTGGCAGAAATGTCCCAGCTGCTGCTACTTCAGTTATCTCTCTGCCTACACCTCGGGAAAATGGAGGGGCTGCCTCATGCCCCTGCCGCTCCTGTGAGCGCATCTTATTGGGACCTCACCTGTGTCTCATGGTACTCTGGAGAACACCCACATTTCAGTGTTTGGATTTGGCACTTCTGGCAAAATTAATGACATCTCCTGTGGAACTTCCACATGGAACAAGTATAATATGCATAATTTCATGTTTTCATTATAGGCATAATGCAGCATTCCTGTGCAAACGCTGTAGCACCCTTTTGCGCTGCAAGCCTTCACATAGTAGTCCCCAGGGTGAAATCCAGCCTAGATCAGTAACTTTTTGTTAGTATCAGTGACTGTCTTGCCTCTCTGAAGTATGGTTTCTCCTAGGTTCTGTCCATACTGTGTTTTTATCCCCTGAGAGATGATTATAGACTTTGTGATTTGTAGTTTGGACATTGATAATTTGTTGAAACGAATATTCAGTGTTGGTCCAACTTCTCCACTTTCCTTTGCTTCTGGCTCCTGAGATCTTTGCTTGCTTTTGCTTTTCAGGTCTGCAGCTGTCTCCAACTTGACCTTGTCTGTTTATGCCTGCTGTTGTCATACTGTTGATGCATTTATTGCTCTCTGTCCACTTTAAGCTCCAGTGCTTCAGTCTGTGCCTTTTTTTCCCCATCCTAAAGATATCTCCTGTCATTTCACTTTCTTTTGCCAGCTTCCATCTCCTTTTCATCTCTCGTTTCTGGAGTGGGTGGTTTATTTTTGCTGACTCCATTTCCTCTCAACTTTACATAATTTCTTAATCTCCTGCAACCTGGCTCCAGCCCTTTGAAATTATTTTGACCTAGGCTGAAACACCACCTTCAGCTTCTTCAGATGAACATAAGCTCCCTGCTTCCATGATTGTTGTCCTGCTTATCCTTCTGCTTCCGATACTTACCCTGATACTTTATCCTTACTCTTGTCTTTTTTCTTCTTTCTTGGCATTTGCCCTTCTCTTCTACTTTTTCCCAACATCAGGATGCCCTTTTTTGTCCTCAGTCTTTCGTTTCTCCTTAAGCTTCTCCTGAGTCCATAAGTCCCTCCTGATGTTGTATAAACATCCTCTTCTGTTTTATTCTCTTGAATGTTTCCTTGTGTGTTGTTCCTTTCTTCACTGTGCACCGCTCTGGGCGTTGGGGTGTATGGTAACTGGGGGAAGGGGTTACTACACACCATACCAGTGTGTGGTATGGTATGGAACCATAGCTGGTTCTCTTTTCTCGTATGAACCTCAGACGTCAGGCCCTGCTGCCCGTCAGCCGCAGATAGTGTCCCTGCTTACAAACACCCTCTTTCTTAAATGCTTCCTCTCCCACCTCCTGGGCTGTTTCTGTGCCTCCACATGTGGGCACATCCCTGCTTGGGAAAGTGTCAGTGTGTGTTTCTGGTGTTGTGTAAGTGCTCTCAGGCATTGCTGCCTGCAGCACCAGGAGGAGGGAAGCAATGAAGGGCACATGTGGGAGGGAGGTTTCGGCCATTCTCCTGTGGGTAGATGGAGTACCTCACTCTCCCGAGGACTCTCTGCTGCCATTGCTCATTGACTCTTGGTTTCTCCCTATGCTACAGAAGGATGTGGCAGCAGTCCTATGCATCTTCTCTGAGGCCTTAATACATCAGCTCCAGGCTTCAGCTGGTAGATAAACTTTATGTGTAAAGATCCATCTCTCCCTGGGAATGTGAAAAACTTGAGTGTTTGGGCCATTTTTTCTTCTCGCCTCCCACGTGGAGCAATTTCTCTCAGTGCTACATGCCAGCCCTGGCAGGAGCTGTGCGATTTGGATCCACTCCTTCCTGCATCTCTAGAGTTTGGCAGAGCAAGCAGCACTAACTGGGCACCAGTCCTTAATGGGCTGGGCCAGGCACTGTGTGCTGCCTAACTTTCAAACAGGAGGTGTGATGCCACTGAAATTGGGAGGGGGTGTGTGACTTATTCTGCATTGGGATTGTTATGAACTTGGGATCTGGCCCCTTGGCTGACCTGCTGTAGAAGTGGAGTACAGCCATCCCTAAAATATCTCTTCCTTATCTGTGAACCTGCCACAGAACCTGTGAATCATCACACCACTGTGTTAAGGTCTCTACAGAGCGTAAGGATACTGCATTTGAGCCTTCAACCCCATCGTGCTGTATTATTCTTTGTGGCTGTGGGCTATGAAAAAAGCAAACTTATTTCTGCAAGCATTCATGCTTAAATACATTAAGGAATATTGCACCCTAGCACCTGAAACAGATGGACGTTTTAATTTTATGTACATGGGGAGAATTATGCTGTGATGAAATGCAGTAGCTCCCTCTTCAAGCAGTACCAAGGCATATGACACTCATGTTTTTGTCTTCTAGCTGAAGTGGAAGGTTTGCAGGTCACTGTGCCTGAGAAGAAGAAGGTGGCCATGTTGTTTCAACCCGCTCTGCTTCGCTGCCATTTCTCTACTTCTTCCACCCAACCAGCTGTGGTACAGTGGAGGTTTAAATCTTACTGCCAGGACCGGATGGGAGAAGCTTTGGGTATGGCGACTTCTGGTTTACAAACGATGAGCAAGAGGAACCTGGACTGGGATCCCTACCTGGACTGTGTGGACAGCAGGAGGACGGTCCGTGTCGTGGCCTCCAAACAAGGATCTGCCATCACTATAGGGGACTTCTATAAGGAAAGAGATGTCAGCATTGTCCACGGTAACTCTCCTACCCCAGTGATGCTTGTTGAGCATTGGACTGGACCCTTAGCAATTTGGGATACTGGAGGCTGGCAGTAATTGTTAACTCCCTTAGAAAAGACTGCTGGAAGGGAGCTGTTGTATGTCAGACTTTTAGGATTCAACCAGCCAATCCTAGGCACAAAGGTCATTCATTTCCTTTGGCACTTTATCCAACTCCATGTAGATCTCCTACCCTGATACAGTATTCTTTTCCCTTTGATGAAGTGGAAGGGTTTTATTCCTGGTTTCTGCATATTACTCTGTGTATAGATTTTCCTTAACCAAGGGGGTGCCAGCAAGAGAGAGATGAATTCAGTCTCTGTGGGCTAGGTTTTTCTTCCTTGCCAACTCCACTGATTTTTGTCCCAGTTCTGAAGTACCAAAATTATCCTGCACCTCATGTTTGCTCAGCTCTGGACTTCACCAGCTTACTGTGTCGTGAACCTAAATGCACACAGTCTTGGGCACTGTGAAAAGAGGAGATTTCCATGGGAGGAAGTCAAATTGGGTGGAAATAGGGGGTGTCAGGTCCTTAAACATTTGGTCTGGAAAGTTGTGTGAGGAACCTTGTCCCTGAAAAGTGCAAGGCTTCTTGACTCAGGAAACCACCTAGTCAGAAGTGGAGGCTCCTTGGTGTGAAGAGCCATGCGATCAGCCTCAGGAAGGGAGATTGTTTCCCTTCCTCTCCGTGTAACCTCTTTGGCAGATGACTGAAGTGCTGTAGAGGAGACACTAAGCTCTTCTTGCGTGGCACAAATACTGTGGGGACCCTAGGCCTTAGGTGATAGGAAAGGCAGAGTGACATTAGTTACCCCTTCTGCTCTCGGCACGTGCAGAGTGAGCCGTCTCTGAGGTGTTACCTGTCTTCCCACTTACAGCCACAGAGTCCTGAGCCTGTTTTGTTTGTTTTTTTTTTCCTGAATACTGCAATATTCTGGATAAGGTTAACCCCCCTTCTTAGTAAGGAAATTAGATGTGTTTGGGACACAGAGATGGACCCAGTGCTTTCAACACTTCGCTCTTCCTATAGGTCTTGGAGGGAAAGCCTGACTTTTGTTTTTTGACTTTCAGATGCAGATCTTCAGATTGGGAAGTTGATGTGGGGAGACAGTGGGCTCTATTACTGCCTTATTATCACACCGGATGATGTGGAGGGCAACAATGAAGAATCAGTGGAGCTGCTTGTGCTTGGTAAGCCCTCTTGCCAGATTGCTTTTTCAGCAGATAGCTGATGTATCTTTCCTTCTGCTCTCTTGCCCTCTGTATATATCTGTGCACCATATTACTATGGGTGTAAGATCTATGTAAAACAGTTCCTGCAGTACCTTCACCGTTGCCTTGCACCTTGTGCAGTCATTCACACCTAGGCAAAGTGGGTGGCAAATGCTATGAAACCAGAATAGTAATGTTTACACCCACACTGCTCACACGTTACACAGGCATAAATGACTACAGAAGGTGCAGGGCTGTGGAAAGTCAGAACTCTTGTTTTTAAGGCATAAAACAATAAACTTGCAGCAAAGTGAACACTTGAGACGGAGCCTTTTAAAAATAGACACCCATAAGACATCATATCTTATGCTTTTTGCAGTCTTTTAACATTCCCTTCATCCCACTCCTCTGACCTGTGAGGATGTCAAGAAGCACTGTGTTTTTCTGCTTGAGTGTGTCAGTTTGAGAGGTTTTTCTGTTTTGCCTAATTATACTTGTCCAGTTAAAGGTGCAGTTTTACAGTCACCCTAATCAGGTCTAAGCTGATGCTGCCACTAAAAGGGCCTGTCCTCGCTGTGGTATCCGTGCTTGGCTCTGTTTCTGTTAAGCTCCTGTGAGCAGTGTGGTGAGCAGGATCTGTTTCTTTCCTGTTTGGAGGGTTAGCTTTCAGTGATAGTTTCCACAATCCAGCTCACTGTAAAAATCAAAAAAGCTCCTATCCCAACTCAGGGAGAAAAACGGAGTGAAATGGGCCTTTCAGGGACATTTGTTGACACTGCCTTGAGCCCAGCTGTAGTACTTCACTCCTAGAAGGTGACCCCATGGCTAAGGTCAGAGTTTAATTGGCATTTATATTTGGAGCTGTAATTGTCATCACAAAATAAACCAGGTTGAACGGGTGAATGACTATCACAGGACCGTCACCTCCCCTCACTTCTTCAGATATCTGTCAAGCAATGGCCTATTGGAGAATGGGTCCCTCCAGAAAACAGTGTCATCTCTGTCTAAATCCAGAGCATGACTGTGTATCATATTCTAGTTAATAACAGGCCGAAGACTGACCTGCCTTGGTTCAGGTGGAGTTTTCTCTGCCAGATGGCAGCTGTAGCTGTTAAGTAGCCTCTCCAGAGGAGCTGTCTGTGGCTGCATGGTGATGGGCTGCTGAATTTTGTCCCTTCTTCACCTTCCTGTCCAGGATTTGGTGTCTTCATCTTCTGTGTGTCTACAACTGTGCTCAGACACCAGTGATAAAACAGTGCCATGGTAACAGGAAGAATCTGTTTTTCAGTGTATACAGAAGACTATGGGGGGGGGAGGAACAAAGAAACCCCATGCTCTGAAGCTGGCTTGATGATGTCCCTGGCCCCAGTTCGTTGTGGTTGTGCTGGGAGGAAACATGTAGCTTAGGCTGTGTTACTTTGACCGCGTCTGCTTTTCTGTTCACTACAGCCTGTGGGTCAGACCTTGCACTCTCTGTACCACTCTGCTAAGTTTGGCAGCAGCATGAAAGCATACTTGTCGTGGGCATACTTTGTTCTGCCTCATGCTGTTTGGCGCAGCTTGTGTGTATTTCTTTTCCTGGGTAGTGTGTACGGAGGCAACATTCCAGTTTTCGGAGTGATTCCAGGTTACCTACCCATTTTCCTTCCTTCCTTCCTTCCTTCCTTCCTTCCTTCTTTCCTTTCTTCCCACCTTATTGTTTTCCTTCTGCTTTTGCTGTTATTTCTTCTTCCCTTTCCTTTTCCTCTCCCCATTGGTGGCTAAAGGAGGAAGCAGGCAGTGGTGAAAATGCCATTTCTTAATATTCTGGCATTTCCTGGGATACTTTTTATTCCATCCTGTTGCTTTGAGGGAGACAGTGAGTACAGATGTAGACCAGAGTCTAGGGGACATATGGTAAAAGGTTTTTGTTTGTTGCTTGCTGCTCTTTGGGTGGAACCAGATTAGAACGGTTGGAGCAGTGGAGGGATAGTGTCTGCGAGTGACACTGTGATTCCCACAGCACATTGCTGTTTGCTCCCTGCTGACAGTGGTCTTTCAAATATAATTTACATTGCTTATTTTGGGGTTGCTGTATGATTTAAGCATAAATTAGAATTTTGAATAGAGCAGAGGTTCTACCCATTCATGTTATCACTGGGGGGAGACAGAAAAATGAGAACGCAAAAGGAAATAGGAAAATATCCCCCCTAGGGGTTTCATATTAATGCCAAGATGAAAGGTGTCTTTGGGTTAGAGAAGCCTACTGCTGGATGGAGCAGTTTAATACCATGTAGAAACCTTAAAAGGTCTGAGAGGCAAAAATGGTAGATGTCTAATAGCATCAATAAATTAATGGAAACTTGCTTAGCTACAAGTGGAGTGCTTTTTATACAGTGAATTGCACCATTAAAAATTGGTCAAAAGCTGCTTAATCACAACTTGGAGCAAAATCCGGAACCTGACCAAATTACAATATTCCTTTTTTCTTAGGGAAGCAATCACAGAGACTTCCAGTGAAGTCTTAAGTAGCCAGTCAGCCTGGGTCATGATGGGATTGCATGTTGAGTGTTGTCACCTGGATGTGTCATGTAGACACACAAAGGGGCTGGACAAATCTAGGTAGCTTCAGAGAATCCCATCCTGTCTTCATTTCAGGCCTATTTCAGAGAAGCATATAAGCATTTATTTATATCCATTGGTGCTCAGGAAAGCTGGTTGGATTTATAAAGCACACCTGAGGTTAAGCATGTGCGTATGTGTTTTGCTGAAAAGACCATTCAGTAGGTTTTGCTTCGTCAGGGACTTTAACCCTCTCTAACAGAATCAGTGTAGGCAAGGGCAGGGGGACGGTGCCTCAGAAACAGGAGATTGGCTGGTAGTGAACCTCCTGTAGAGCAGGGAAAGAATTTAAATTAAAAAGTACTATTACACTTTTATTAAATATTTGTATTTTGATGGCATTTGGAATCTCCAAAGGGGGTCTAGCATGCTGGAAACTGTATGAAGTCTGCTTCTGCTGTGGCAGGAGTAGAGTAGTACAGAGCTTAGCATTTCCACAACAGGAGTCGAGAGATGCTGTCTGCACTCATGTGTTTTAATAGAAATGTAGAACACTTTGCTGATGTTACAGCTGGGCTAGTGAATCCATTTGCAACTTTATACGTTTTTATTTTTTAGAACTAATGTGATTGAATCAAAAAGGCTGAATCCTAAATTTAAGAAAGTCTACATTTCTACCTGAGTTGCTAGCAGCTGTGTGTCCTGCTTCTTGAAATACAGTCCTATTAATCGAATTTTTATTCATAGCCCCTATGCATTGCTTTTTATCTGAGAATGTCAGTGGGCTTCAGTAAAGTCATTCCATTGCAGCTTCTGTTGAAGGGAACTGCAAGTGTACCAGTGCAGTGGGTGCAGGGTGCCTGGAGTAACCTTTGAATCACAAGTACAGGGCAGTGTCAACAGATACCCCATCCTAGCTTCAAGTGACCCAGCTCACATCAGCAGCAGTCTAGGCTTAATTGAGTGGGATTGCATATAACCCTTTCTCTGAGAGCCAAAATTTACTAATAAGGTGCAGGGTCCTGTGAGAGCAGCTGTACTGCTCCCTTCCCAAGCTGTAGAGCAATGGCAATGGCTGTAGGCATAGCTAGGCGCACAGCTGGCTACCCTGAAATGCATAGGTCTGTGCACGCTTGGCAGTGTTTGCACCACAAGACTTTGCATAGCTTAGACATGCTTCACGAAATAGTGGCTTCATTCCCAAGGACATGTCAAGCTCCTGGAAGAGGCAGGGAAGTGATCCACTAATCCCAGTTGTTGGTTTGATGCTTTGGTTAGTGATCCGTGTGCTTCGCTAGACAGCTACTGCCTGCTGTTTTCCATCCAATTTGTTGGCTAATACTACATAAATTATATAGTAGTGAAATATTATTTTATAATTAATCTTTTAGAAGCTTCAGCCTCTACTGTTGTTATGCTTTAAATGACAACAATTAGCACTTGTTTTTGTTAATTAGGATTTTGATAATTTCTGAAGTCAGCCAGCACTTAACTTAGGTAAACTGACATCTTTGGTAGTTTGTATTACCAGCCAGTATTGATACAGGCTAGACCCGAAATTTATCAAGTCTAACACCCATAGGCTGAAAAGAATCACAGAATCATGGGATGGTTAGAGTTGGCAGGGACCTTAGAGATCATCGAGTTCCAACCCCCCTGCCATGGGCAGGGACACCTCCACTAGAGCAGGTTGCTCAACGCCCCATCCAGCCTGGCCTTAAACACTTCCAGGGATGGGGCATGTAGGTACATATACACAGAGCATATTGCACAGTAATTAATGTACTAATAGAGACGTGCGTTGGCTTTCAGAGAGGATAAATCTCTCCCGGGACGTGTGTGTATGGCGTGCAATGCTAATAAGACAGTTCTTACTCAGCAAAGTGACTCAATAGCTGATATAAATATAGCCAGGTTTGGAGTCTCTTGTGTGCCAGGAGAGACTGTATTATAAAAATTGATGTGGCTTTGGAGACAGAAAAGTTCTTGGCAAAATTTTTCCTTACAAGATGATGGTTTTAGGATTTCACTCTGTTTCGCTGAAAAGCTGCCAGTAGCACTTGGTCACAGCAGTTGGCAGAGACGTCAGTGCTATCGGCCATGTGTTGGGGATGAGAGGGCCAGATCTCAGCCAGGGAGGTGTCTGTGAGCAACTTCACGGCGAGGGCTCTCCAACCTTGAGCTGCACCTTGGTGAACCAAGGCACGTAGTGCCAGCAGGCGAAGGAAGTGATCGGTGTGGAAGGCCTCCACTTAAAAATCCAGGAAAGGCATTAATGCCAGGAAGGCCACTGGTGTCTTCCCACCCCCAAAGTGCTCCTTCTGTCCTCACTAGTGGCTGCTGCCCTGCCCCGGACCACTGTGGCTGTCCCTTTGTAATCTGGGTCCAGTCCCCCTCATCATAGCCCAGCCTACTCTTAGTTATTTATTTCACACCGTTTAGAAGTGCTACTTGTTGCCAAGGTTTTTTACCCCTCTTTTCCTCCTTGTTTGCCAGCGACAGCCACACGCTGCTCACAAAGGAGACTGGCGTGATTAAAAGACCTCTGTTACTAAGGTAGCCATGGCAACAGCCTCCTTGGAGGTCTTTGTTGCCTGCTAAAACTTTGATCTCCAAGAAGGGCTGCTGCTGTTTCTCCCTCCAATTGAAGAGCAGGATGGGAAGAAAGGATAAAGTTTACTCTGAGCAGAGGGAGCACAGAGGAACTCATTGCAGTGCCATGCTGTCCCAATAAATCTCACAGCAGCTTCCTTGGAAAAGTATCAGATTTACAAGGGCCACACTTCCTCTCCTGTCCTTTCCAGCCTCCCCTCAGGGCAGCATCCTGTGCCAGGGGCCTCTGGCCATGCCATTGCTTGGCAAATTTTTCTGCTACTGAGAAAGAAATAGTTCCCTCTGGAGCTGCTGCCTCCTGTGGTCCCAGTGCTGCAGGTGGGGCTGCAGACGCAGCCCTCAGTAGGGAAATCAATTCAACAGTTATTCCCATATTTACCCAATATTTATCACATTTATGCAATTGCCAGTATCTACGCAATTGCCTTGTTCCTGACTGCACCTGCGCCTACTTTATTCATGTCATCATTTCTTTTCAACTGCACCACTTACCCTAATTATTTTTGTGTCTCTTCTCTGCAGACTCTCTGCTAATTGTCTGCTTGACTCCACATTCTCCCCAGTCTCCTGCTATTTGCTCTCTTGCTCTGTCACCCGCCTGCCTCCTGTGTTTTATCTCCTGTCCTCACTTGCCTCCTCTGTATCTCTGCACCTCCTGGAGCTGCTCTGTGCAGGTTTTCCTCTCCTGTTCCTCCTCCTGCCCTCTCCTGCTGTGCTTTGCCGGTGCAGACTGGGGGCTCAGGGACTCCCTTGGATGTTGGGGCTTCCAGGGCCTGGTGTGTGTGTGGTGCTCGGTGAGAGGCTGCTGCAGGCGGGTAAAGCCCTGCAGCAGCGCGGTGGGAAACAGAGACAGGAGCATGGCCCAGATCCATGCCGGAATGAGGACGACCTCCTAGCTCCAGCAGAGCTCCCCCGGGGACAGTCCTGGTAAACGGGGGCATCATCTATTCCCTCTTTTCCCCCAGGGGCGTCTTCTGGGGCTCCGTGGTGAGAGCTTGCACAGAGGACACGTAGCCCTTGCCGGGGAGCGGAGCTGCGGCTGGGCAGCCATGCTTGGCTGTGCCTTGTGGTGCCGGCAGCCCTCTTGCTCAGGCAGGTGGGGCTGTGTGGCCAGATGGTCTCTTGGCGGGATGTTTCACTAAATTGTTTTCCCCCCACCGATTGCTTTGTAGTTCCAGCCCTCCACCTTAAAGCATTGCTTAAAAAAACCCACCCCAAAACCAGGAGAGAAGTGAGGTGAGCTTAACGCCTGCAGAAGGAGAACTGAGACCCAGGAGTTTGCCGGCCACGATCACCATGGCCGTCTCCTGGCTGGCGTTTCTGCTGTTGGTCCAAAGGGGGCCTTGCTCGCTGAGACCCTGCCCCGTGTCCCACAGCTTCGGGCACCACAGAACCCATCATGGTGCTGGCCTGGGCTCCCCTTTGCCAACTACCATCTGGTTTTGGAGGTGCCCCGGGCTTGCACAGGGCAGGCAAGCGGAGATCAGTGGTGGGCCTTGTTACCCCCAGAGCCGCCCTGTCCCTGTACCCACAGGCAGGCAGGCAGACGGGGTGATTTTCCTCCACTTGTTGCTTTTTTTTGCTCCACTTGTTGCTGGCGGCAGCGGCAGAAGGAAAAGTCAGCTTCAATGAGGGGCAGTGGCAGGGAGCCTCCCGTTGCCATGGCAACGGCGGGGCAGCCATGGCAGCTTGGCTTCACCCGCCGAGGGGAAAGCGCAGGGTGTGGGGAAGGGTTATCGGGGAATTAATTCATCCCAGGCTGGGGAGAGCTGGGGTGCATGTAAAGCTGCTGGGGGCACAGCAGACCAGAGGCGGGCTTTGTGCTTTCTGGCTGTCAGCTGGGCTGGTCAGGGCAGCAGAGCTCAGGCTGAGCTGTGGTGGGGTTTGCTGCTGCCTTGGGTCCTCCTGGGTGTTGTTCACACCCTCCCCCCTGGGGCCCCCAGGCCTGTGCGAGCCCCACTGGTGAGGCAGAGGGAGCAAATTCCCCAAGCAGATACTCAGCAGAGCTGAGGGAGGCTGCACAAGCAGGGGAATACTTGATGCTTGTAAGTAGCACAGAGGAACTACTTTGATTGCCTTTGTAATGAGTTACCGAGTTCTCAGGTGCTGTTGTTTCTGAGGGATGCTTCTTCCCTCTTGAACACATGGTTCCTCCTGGGATCAGGAGGCAGCATAAGACCCAGCACCAGCAGGGATCCAGTCTCTTTGGGTAGGTTCAAAATAAAGCAAGTGCCTATTTGGCCTCGTGAGATGGAGCTTCTGTTCTTTATAGGTGTCACTCTCTTACCCCTGGTACCACACATCCCAGCCCTAAGTTAGCTATTTATCTCCAGCTACTTGTCCATTGGCGTCTGCTCTCAGACTAGGGCTGCATGTGAGCTTGTGTGGAAATAATATTACATGGCAGGCAAGCTGCATGCCCGTGTCTACCCGTATGTTCTGCACGCGTGCAGTTCGCATGTACATTGTTCACATACACACACAGACACAGAGGCCTATGCAAGAATTGCATATTTTTTTGTGCGTGCTTGGAAAATAAGGAATATATTTAATATGCATGTAGAACATAATGTAAATCTAGCATACTGTGACACAAGGCATACATTTGTTGCATGTGTTTGGAGCTCACTTGTGGCACCCAAGACTAAAACCACGCACACATGTTGTATGTGTGCCTATATCTTTTGAGCAGAAATCATACATGAGCACTTTCTCATAACAAGGTAGTTGTGAGCAGTTTGGGCACTTGATCCTTCCGGAAAATGGACTGCAAAGAATGTCATGAAACTCTCCGTATGTGTGGATAAAAATGTTGCAATAGACCGATGGCAAGTGTCCTCCTTCAAAGTAGGAAATGAGGAACAGTTATCTGAAGGATCACTATTGTATCTTTTGCTAAGGCTTCAGGAACACCTCATCATGACGGTATTATTGTGAGTACGAGGCGGCTTTGAGGAGTTGCAACTGGTTGCAAGGCACTGCCTGCATTCAGAATGTGTTTGTTATGCCTCTACTAGGCATCCTTCTGATTTTTGGTCTCTACAGAACCTCTGCCAAAGCACTGAGAAAAAACAGACAGTGGGAATTTGATTGTAACACGCTTGAAGGACAGACTAGTGGCCAAGGAACTTGGGATCCAGTTCATCGTTGTGTCTGAGTGCTGCTTAGTGCAGGACCTGAAGGGCATGTGGGGAGGTTAAAGGTAGCTTTCTACCACTTTTGCACTGGCTTGCCCATAGCTGCTTCTGTTATGTTATATCCACAATGTATATCTCTCTTCAGAGTGCAGGTCTCCTATCTTATGCATGTTGTTAAAAATCCTGGCATGATTCTGGTGCTATACAGAAGAGTATGCAGCACAGCTGCACGTAGTGCTGTCTGCTGATGCACAGGTGTGTGTAAATTACAGTTGAACACCTTGCAGGATGTTTGCTATGTGTTAGAAACATCCCAGGCATTCAGTGCCAAAACAAACAGGCACAAAGCTGCCTTTGGGCTTGGATTTTGTTTGTATTCAGTTATAAATTAGAAGTTGATTTATTACTTTTTCTTCTTTTCTTTTCCTTTTTCAAAGTGATTGCACAGATTTCTACATGAATCCTTCCCTGGTTGATTTGCTTCGCTTGAGAATTGGCCTTATATCACACAATTTCAATAAGTTGCTTGTGCATCTTGAAATAAGTAGCACATAGTCACAGTCACACTTCAAGACTCCTTTCCTGGAGCTGGCTCTGAGATTGCAGAGCCCCACGTGGAGAGCACCACCCACAGGTGTTGGATGCATGTGGCTGACTTGTCAAGGGCCTTGGGTTAAAGATTTTTCACATTCATCCAAACTATATCAGTACTTTATTTTAAAGTAAACCAAATCCTGTTTGAGGACTGTCCTGCATTTCCAGGAGCTTTTTGCATGTGTGGAGTATAACTCCAGAAAGATGTTACCGTGTAACCATGCTAAGGGGACCTCCCTCTTGTTATTTTGTGCCTAGATTGGAGAAGCTCTGTTCCAGATTCTTTTCCTCCCCAGCTCTGCTGATAAAATGCAAGGACACAGAAATGGCAGAAGTTCAGAGGCAGACACCAGGCATGGAGCAGGATGACGGCTATGGTTGATAGGAATTCACTTAAGAGAGTGCAAGTGGGCTGATGAGGAAGGGTACTGGAGGCAAAGGCAGGGGCTGGGGAGTGTGTTTTTCTTGCAGTAACCTTTCTCCTTATTCTCCTCCTTCTGTCTTTTCTAGGCAGGACAGGGCTGCTTGCTGATCTCTTGCCCAGTTTTGCTGTGGAGATTATGCCAGGTATTCAGTCATTTCACCCTTCAATCACCCAGTCCTCTGTCATCTTGTCTGTTTATCCTTCTACAGCATCTTTATGTGGTGTACGTTTCACTCATCTGTGTGTTTTATCTGGGAATAAAAAGGGAAAAGCCTGTTGCTTATTGGGAAAGCGTGTTGGGTTGAGATCTAAGAGAGCTGATGCTGGGACTTGGGGGAGGAATGGCCGTGCTGGGAGCCAGCATTCAGAGATGGTTGATGTCATGCCAGGATCAGTGTGAGAGCAGAAACGCCAGCACTGTTCAGGGGAGGTTTTATATCAAGATCTCTGCTCTCCCCCTGCTACCACAAAGGTAACACCACTCCAGCCTGCGAGATCTCGGCAGCCTTGTGTGCCCGTATGGCTTTGTACGTCATCTGCTCTTGTGCAGTAGTAGCTTATGCTCCCCAGACCCTGTCCTGCGGGCACCGTTATGGCCATCACCACAGATGGGAGCACAGGAGGTGCTAGAAATAGAGCACTGGTAAGCAACCCATCAGTGGCACAGCCTCTCTTGTGCTGCATGGCCAGGGCATTATCTAGGTAACACCAGGTGGTTGGACCAGACATGAAAGCTCTCTGCCCATGATAAATCCCTTGCTAGCCAAACTGATGAGAGCCACCAGTTCTGGCACTCCTCGCAGAGGGAGCAGAGACTGTGCAACAGATTGTCCTTGAAAGGGAAAAGCTGTGAGAACATTTAGACCTTGAGTCATCTGATCATCCCCTGACAGTGCCCAAGGGGTGTTTCTTTCACACGTTTGTGCAAAAATGCAACTCCACATAAATGTGTGAAGCTATTTTCAAATCTGTCCCAGAGATGGAAACAGAGAGAAGGCAGACGCTCCCCCGCCTCCAGTATGACCCAAAGCTCTCTGGAAGTTCAGCATGGCAGGAGGGATTGGTCTTTTCAGCACAGGCAGAAGTTGATTCTCTGTTGCCTAACACTTTTTTTCCCCCTGTTATTTTATGGAATGGGCATAAAGTTCCTGTGTGTTGGCCGGGTAGCTTTCTGGTGCCCTCACTGCATGGGTATAAGCAACAAGAAAGTGTGACAGCAGCAAACCACATTTCAGCTGTTAGCATTGCCCCTTACCTGAATAAACAAAAGTGGATGCTGCTGCAAGCACAAACCAGTGGTTTCCAGACAGCGAGGATGCATTCAGCTTAGTAGTAATTTGGATCTCTGGGAGGTCTGTGGCAGAAGATAACAGTTGTACTGAAGGAAGGATTAGGGAATTCCAGGTAAAACTGGTTGAACCCCAGTTTTGTGCATAAAGGAGGAGCCAGCAGGAGCTTTTGCTGTTTTCTTAACCTCATCAGAGAAGCAAATGGTGTAACTTCCTGTGAAGTGAAATCCTTCCTGACTCAGAGGTCCCTGTGACTGGGACGCTGATTTCAAACATCCACTCCTGGTGCCGAGTGAGTATCTTGCAATCTGCATTGAACATGCTAACCTGACCTCCTCTTTTACTCCTAGAACGTTTTCAGAAAGACCACAGATACGCTTACAATGGACTTGCTGTTTCGTTTTTTTTTTCCTTCTGCCAGGCTTTTGTCCTTTATGGAGTGGTTTTGAACTGTTTGCTAATAGCTCTGGACATCTGACATCTGAGCTTCACTGCATAGCTGTGGCTGGCACTTCTGTCATGCGATACTGTTAAACCTCCTTCTCCGTATCAGTGATGGTCCTAGAGAACAAGATGAGAACACGACAAAAGAAAAAGCCACTGAGCTGCTGCCTTGCTCGGATTAGCATAGATTAGGAAGTACAGCCCTGGAAAGGATGGTCTGGCTCACTATCTTGCTTGCTATCCTGAGCGCCATGTAATTTCATCCTTTCCACAAGCTTAGCAAGCTTAAGAGTAGTCTGGGTTTGGCCTTTCTCTCTCCCATTGGATTGCTTTCTTTGATGTTCTTTTTCTAGCTTCAACCAACATTACTCATACCCTGTTTATGTCCGTTTATGCAAGACCTTTAACTATAATACCTGTTTTTCCTCCTAGCGTTCAGCCTTCTAGCATATTTACTGGCAGCAGCTGTGTCTGCTCTCAGCCTTCTTTTTAACAGAGTAACACAGTGAGCTTCAGCTCTTCTGGTGCAAGGCAGGCTATCAAGTCCCTTCATCCGTTTAAATCCCTGCTTGGCATCAGCTCCAGCCTGAATTCATCTTTTCTTGTACAAAGATGACCAAAGCTGTATTACAGCAGTAACTTCAGATGAAGATACATGGAGCCTTGTATGATGGCCCTAATACTTCCTTAACACTACTGGAAATTCCTCCTCTACTGGGCATAGGATTACATTTGCCATTTTTGTGGCACTTATTGCGTAAGTGGTTACAGTTGTCTTATGATAGAATAGTATACTTTCTTTTTTTTCCAGTTGTTTTCAACTAATTAAGTTCTGTTCAGAGCAGAAGTTGTTCTTAATCTTTGAACATGTGACCTTGGAAGTATTGCTGCATACCTTGAAATTCAATATTTTGCTGCATTTCATGTATCTTATTGTAGGCTCAAGGACAACTAGCCCTTTCTGTAACATATCCCAGTCTTCATCGTTAGTGACAGTGCTTCCCTACCTCTTACCCTCAAGGTACATTAACACATTCTTATTTTCTGTTTCAAGGTCATTCATGAAAATATTAACTAAGATGGCTCTTAGAACTGGCACTTGAGGAACTGTATCAGTAATCTCCTCTCATTCTTCTCCATTCATGAATGTTTCCCTCCAGCCATTTCCTTACTCATTAGCTGAATTTTTCCCAGCATATAGTAACTTCACCAAAAAAAAATATTCCACAAGGACCAAAGTTAGCTGCAAATTTAAATGAAATTCATCTGTTTCAGCCAAAAAAGAAATAAAATATTCCAAAAATATAAAACATTTCACTTGACACTTCTGATATGAAATGTTTTGATTTGTAAATGCCAGATCTTTCACTGACATTTTTTAAGGGAAATTGTAAGTTCTAGATTAAGAATGGCATTAAAAAAAGGGAATTGTTTGTAAAAGATTTAAGGAAAACTCCAACAAAGCAAAGAATTTTTCCTTTTTTCAAACAGAATGCTGTGGATGATTCAAAAACTTCTTATATTTGCATGTTAGTAAGAAACAGAAAAAACTTCTGTTTTGATTATTCCAAGCTGAAGATTTTTCCTTGGCTTTTCAGCTTAGCAACATAGGTGAGAGGTGCACTATTTTTCCAGTGTGATTCTGTGCTCACATTGCAATCCTTGTGTCGATACTTCTACATCTTAAATAATAATGTACCAGGAGACCCCTCAGTAAACGCTGGATTCTCTTCAGAAACAGTGGTCTGCTGCTTTTTTTTTTTTTTTCCTCTGGGGTGGGGGTAAACCCTACCCCACTGTGAAGCTGCCCTACCACTTCTTTCTTTCCTTTCTTCCCGTCTTTCCAAGGTGGTTGAATAACCACCTGGGTGCACCTGGAGTCTTTCTCCACGGATTTTCCCCTCACCAGCAAATCTGACTTCTAGACAGGTTGGCGCATCTCTCTGCTGTAAAACCAGCTCTAGGCTTCCTATACATTCAAAGTCTTGACATTTCTTGGTCCAGATGTCTTTACTGACCATTCCTTTAATCCAGGGAATTGCCATGTGGCAGTCACCGCAGCCCTAGCACAGACTGGACACCTGTTCCACCACAGCAGCTGCTGCTGCTGCAGATTTCCCAGCAGCAAAGTTTGAGAAAACTTTTCTTGCTCTCCTTCCCGTTCAAACTCCATCCCTTTTGTTGTGAACCAGCTCTTCTGTGCTGTCCCTTGTGGGGTGTTGTTCAGCCTTTCCCGTCCGGGCCCTGGCAGACATCATTTGAGGCTTCAGCGGGAGGGGAAAAAAAAAAGTGGTTGTTAGGTTTCCTGGCTGGCTGCAGCATCTGAATGGGATGTTCGTTCGGCACATTCAAAAGAATAATTGCATGCGTAGGCCTAGTTGCGAAGGGGCAGGCCTGGCTCATTTTCTGGGCTATTTATAGCATGCTTTTCACCATCATTTGTCCCATTAAAACTAGAATGTGGGTAGGGAACAAACACACAAGCAGGCCATGAACATGGCCAAGAAGAATGGGTCTTTGATGAGATCCAAATGCTAATGGAGCACGTCCTGCGGCGTTCGTATAGGTCTGCCATGGCGTGAAGGGTTTCTGTGCTGGGGAACCAGAGCTGCTGCCTCCATGCTTCTTGCCTCTCAGCCAGCCAGAGACGTCGCAGGAAGGGACCACGTTTCTGTAGCTCCATTTCTCACTGTCACATGCCATTTCTGCTTCAACACAGAGGAGGATGTAGTCCTAGACCAGCAGGGAGTCCACTTCTGTTAGTCACTCACCTGTTTTGCCCCTGTGCTCTCCCCTGGGACGATGTTGGTGACGTTCCCTTCCACAGCGATGTGCAATCTTGTAACTATCTCCCTTTCTCCCTTTGTTTTCCAGAGTGGGTCTTCGTGGGCCTGGTGATCCTGGGGGCATTCCTGTTCTTCCTCCTGGTGGGGATCTGTTGGTGCCAGTGCTGCCCACACAGCTGCTGCTGTTACGTCCGCTGCCCTTGCTGTCCCGAGTCCTGCTGCTGTCCCCGGGCATGTAAGTGACCCTCTCCAAACCTGGTGCAAAACTTGTCCTGCACTGCTTCTGCTCCCTGGGAGAACAGGAGGAGAATCTGCTAATATTCCTTGCTTTGCCCTGAGCACTTTGCTTGACTGAAGAACTAGTTCTTGGGGGGGTGAAGTATCCGACCTATTGCTCAATGGTTGAGCGCTCCAAGTTAATTGCAAATGTAATTCCCCGAGCCCTCCCTGCCTTGGCAGCTGTGCCTGCTTCTCCAAAGTGTCATGCTCCCCTTCCAAAGCTCTTGTTGTGTCAGTGAAGGTTGCGGGTCAGAGCTCAGAGCATCCTGGGAGGCTTCTTCCCGGCAATGCAAAGCAGCTGCCCTCTACAACAGTGCAAAATCCTTGCAACCCAGCAAGGTTCCTGGTCAGACTCAGGCAGATCTGTCAAGTTTCATGAGCCCCATCCCTGCTGCTTGAGTCAGCAGTTGTTTTTAAAGCCGAACTGCCACTAAATCATGGGGGGGGGTAATGCCGTCTGTAACACCCTGAATGTCTTTCAGTTGCTGGGTATTTTGCAGTGCTCGGCTGACCTGCCATGTGCATTTTTTAAACTCTTCTCAGTGACTTTTGAGGCTTAGAGAAATTCGGATTGGTCCTTGTCGCTTCATTTGTCCAGTTGTCTCCTGATGGGTTGTCACCAGTGTTGGTGATGTGCAGATTTCGGCCACATGCCATGTGGGTCTGTGGGGGGCTGGTGTGATGCTGACCGCTGTTCTTTTTCCTTTGTAGTGTATATAGCAGGCAAGGCGGCAAAAGCTGGGTACCCTCCTGCAGTCTCCTCCATGCCAGGTCCATACTACATCCCCAGTGTTCCTGTAGCTGGTGTCCCATCTCCTGCTGTGCTGATGGATAAGTCGCACCCTCCTCCCTTAGCCCCAAGTGACTCTAGTGGAGGAAGCCAAAATGGTAAGTTGCAGTGCCAGACACAGCATTCGGTCGTCTTACTGGGAGCAGGGCTGGGAAAGGAGGATGGGTTGTCACTGATAGAGTGGTATGAACAGAAAAAAACAAAGAAATTGCGTTTTAATCCTGGCTCTGACAATGACATTTGCATCCCTTGGGCCACATGGTCCAACTTTTCCAGTGCTGTCAGCACAGTGTCTGTGTGGATGCCTAATTAGGTCAGGAGGGAATGGGAGGCCAAGTTCATGCCCAGGACCCGTCTCATTACTGCTGCAAACCTTTATTTGCAGAGAAGGATGAAGATGATTTCAGGGCAGCAGAAGCAGTGGCCATTTTCCCCTGATGCCTTGCGAGCTGCTCTTTCTTGGTAACTGTTCTTCCTGCCCTCTGCAGGACACTGCTTGCCCTCTGGATGCAGTTTTTGCTGCAGCATGTTTTACTGTCGCCATTTTGGGCATGGGGACATGCTGCCTCAGTGCTTCTGGCCAAGAGCATTTGGGGCTGGACCCCTTCCCCTGGACCTTACAGAAGTCAGTAGGTCAGGTTTTTTTGTTCAGCCTTTGCATTTGTGAAATCTGAGTGATAAAAGGCTTCTAACTAGAAAGGAGTTGTGGATCAATGTCATACATAGAATATCAGTATGGTGACTCTATCTTGGTGAGGATCACTTCTCCCGCTGCAAAGGAGGCTGCCATCAAGGAAAAAGGGGGTAGCTGTTTAGCCACATGCAAGCAGTTCAGGATCAGAATGGGTGTCTGAATTCAAACATGCTGCAGCAGAAGTGACTCTCACCAATGTAGAGTCACCGTACTGACACAGTAAGTTTGCCATTGATCCAGCCGCATGTTCTGATTTCACACTAATTGTCAATTGTTAAATTTGCTCTTGACAATGTGTTGATAAGGCACTTCCGCAAAGACAAGATCAAGTAGCATAATCAAATAATTAGCTTTTGGAACAACCCTACGCATCCTTCTGCTGGCCCAGTCAGTATATTAACCTTTCTGAAATTACAAGAAGTATTTTCCTGCAACAATCATACCTTTTTTTTCCCCCGCTGAAATCAAAACGGAGCTCTGGAATGGAGCATGTTGACATAGGAAATAAATCAATCACTGATCCAAAACAGAACGTATCCAATTCAAAAACCTTTGTCAGAAAATGATGAATGACAGCCCAGTGCTTAATCTTTTTCTCCTGTGAAAAATGTCACTGCATGTAGAGCACGGTATTGACCGTGGGAACTCCAGGGATTTTTTTAAGAGTCAGATCACAGCCCAGTCTCGTTTCTGTTGTATGTTACTAGCAGAGCACAAACACAGAATGATAAAAACTGTGGATGCATTTGGTAACTAAATGGAATGGCTCTTAGCATCCCATGTTCATTGCACAGAAAGATGCATTTATTATATAATTCAAATTAGCTGGCTGGACTTAAACCCTCAACTCAGGATTTGACAGGAAATACTATGTATTGCAGATAAAACCATTATTATGTATTTTTAACTGTTGTGGCAAGACAACAGAGGTTTTTAAGATTATTTTTTTTTAATTAATTTTTGTTTGCAATGACATGAACAAACCCTTAGACTGGATGATGCACCTGCTGTTCAAGGTGTTCCTTGAACTGTGGAACTAAGACAGGGTGATACCTTACAGCCTGTTCCTTTTCTCTTAAGGTCCTCCGCAATGCCAGAATATCCCCTAATTACAGGCTGTAGAAGAGAAAACATTACGTGGCTGTTCCAGGCTACTGATTTGCTGGTTGGCCAGACAGCAAGCTAAACAAAACAGGTAGTGGTTGAGTTTATAATAAAGGCCTTTTCTCAGAAGGAGCACTAATTATGGTCTCTGTGACCTCCATGCAGCCATTGTAGGTCTGATCTGAAACTTGGTGTCTTTGAGATTTCAACCTTTCTGTCAAGTTTTTTAAAAAAAAAAAAAAAAATGGATCTGAAGTACTGGGTGACAGAGACTGGAGGATTCTGTAATCCTGGCTGCCAGGCTAAAATGGACAGCCTTTGCCCTAGATAGTTACTGTGCTTATGAATGCCCCCTGTGAGGTGATCTAGTGAGCAAACTCAGGCATGAGGATATTTAAGTAATTTGTCTAGGGTTACATAAAAGTCATGTGACAGAGCTCCAGTGAAGCCTAGGACCTCCATCCTAAACTTAGGGCTGAACAGGGAAAAAAAAAAAAATTTCAGCTCTCTTATTTAGAAGAGCGTTGGCAACACATAAGATAGGATGTGTGCTCTGTCTATTTTAAATGCAGTGGTTACCTGGAGACACTTGCATAGAATTCCTTAAACCATGCACACCCGGAAGCTTTTGATCCGAGAGCTGGACTCCAGGCCTTTAATGTGGAAAGTGTATAAGGATGAGACGTCATTTACTTCCTAACTACACTTGTCTGAAAAAAATAGTACTGCTGCCCTTTCTGGGGAGGAAAACAGCTTACAGTTTTGGCTGACCTGGTTCCACCCACAGAAGAATAAAAAAAGGTGTCCACAGGTAAACACAAATAAAACATTAGAAATTTATGAACTGGTCAGGAGAAGAAAATATGGTCTAACAGGAAAGAGTGTTTCATTCCCTTTGACTTCCGTGAATGGTTCCAGACAAGTGGTTTAACATCTCTGCAACTTCAGTGCCTTATAATTTAGATGGGCCTAAAAATATTCAGACCTTATTAAAGGGTTATGGCAATTTACAGATGAAGAAGGGTGTGAGGAGGAAGCAATAACGTATTTGGTTCTCACACGAAGAAATAATAAAGAGATTTAATAAGTTGAACATTCAATATCATTGTGAGAAGTATTTAATAATAAACGTAGAGACAAAAAATGCTTTATCTATAATGGAAAATACTTTTTATGAGCTCTTCATGCTCATCTTTGCAGATTTAATTCCAAAGTTAATTTCTGGATGCTTACAGAATTAACCAAGAAAGTCATTTTCCTTTTGATACACAGCTGCAATAGTAAGTCAAGCATGAAGCTAGCATGAAGCCTAGCTAATTCTCCATCAGTTCCAGGAGCTATAGATGTTGTCCAAATAGATATTTGGCACAGCTTCAGTGTGAGTAGTGGCTCTGGGGACACAGAGTCTGGAAGCTGCCCGTTCAGGTTCCCCAAAGGTTATTAGCAGGTCAGAGTTATTTCCAGCTGATGATTGTTTGCTGGCCTGTGTATAAATGAGGTGGCAGCTTAGCTGAGCTCCTACTAGAGAGGCCTCTTTCTTGGCAAGGTACCTGACAGAGGTCAGCTATGATGGTGAGGTGAAGCGGAGAACTTGCCTTGCTGTTGCTTGCACAGTGCAGCAAAAGTCATCGCTTCTGAGACCGGTCAGTCCAGACCCCCTATAAATAGCAGCAGCTTCAATTCAAGAGACGTGATGGTCTTTAATGTTGGAAGGCAGAGGCAGGGTTCCTTGTGTTTTGTAAATCATTCTGTGCATTTGCAGTCATTGAACACACATTCACAGGGATAATAAAACACAGCAAAACTCCAGACTGCTGTCAGCTGAGCTATCTGGAGATGCATTTAAAGCAGGACCCTGATAGACTCATACTATGTTTTAACATCTAATACCTTTCCCAAGTATAGATACAGAAGGTAATACTTCAACATGTAGTTACTTCCGTTGCATGCGCACAGTCAAAACCCACAGTAAAGCACTTTCCTCCTGAAGCAATTTGGGGGGTTATTACAGGAATCATTCTACCCATTTCTATGGCACAGCCGTTTCTGAGGCAGAGGATGGTTATTTAATAGTGCACAGACACAGGCACAGCAGTTTAGGACAGAAGGTGCCTAAGAATACCTCTGCCAAGTCCTTCTTCAGCCCACACAGTGCATACTATGCAACGTACTACCAAACCCATATGTTAATAGCTTGATATATTGGGGTGTGGGATAAAACAGAACAGGTTGGCTCAAAAACCACCGTCCAAGTATTGAAATGGGGCCACAAGAGGAGTGCTCATGCAGCACTGCAGTATTCACACAAGGGAACATATTAAGCCCATGCAAGGCAGACAGGTTCCATTTTGTAGTGCTAAGTGAGTTGTCTGCATGATAATTCTCTAATGAGGCTGAATTTTAGGGTTGTAGTCCTGTTTTGTACTTACTCTCTTTCTCTCCATCTTGAAATAGCTCCAGGCTGAGACCTTTCTCAAATTATCTGCTACAAAAGCCTTATTTTCTTCAAAGTCCTGATAGGTGGAGTTCTGTGCTTGCTGACTGTAGACCTGCCTTGAGGTAGTCAGGCTGTTCATAGGGTTAGCAGGTAAAGTGTATGGGGACCCAGCCTGCCAGAGTTAGAGCTGCTGTGGCTCCAGATGTGTCGGGGCTTCTTTTCTACACACAGGAATGTGGAAGAGCTAAAAAAGCTGTCCAGACTTCCCCTGCAAATGGAGTAATCCCAGGAGTCAAGCACATAACATGTGTGTGAGAGCTTCCTTTTCTGTAAAATACATCCAGCACATAAAGAGTGCCAGAACGGGCAGTTTCACAGTTACCCAGTGCCCTGATTGGCCCCATCTTTGGATTCAGCATAAATCTCAAAGCAGCGTGATACGCTTTGTGGGACTTTCTGTGTTTCCTTCTGTATTCTCTGGAGCTTCTCCTACCACATGCTCTTCAACCTGTGTGAGCAGAATTCACAGGGATGGGAGGGTGGAGTGGTCCTGCAGAGTGACAGCTCCCAAATGCTCAGCCACCTGCTTCCCTTGCAGGCTGGAAGCTTATGGCCCCTGCTGCATAGAGGAAGCCTGCTCTTCTGGGACAGCTTCTCCCATACTATGACGAATCCTTTCTGAAGTGCTGAGGAAGGGGAAACGAGTGCTACTTTTCTCTCTGCCATCCTCTGTGGGAGGTGGAATCACTCTGTGGCAATGACACCACTTGATGCGTTTGGTTGTACAGATTGGGCATTTCCAAGCCATTTTTGCTGTTATTGCAAACTTTATAAATGATGCAGCTGCTCACAACTTCACATCCCACGTTATAGACAAATTTCTTCTGAAGCAAGGACTGACTCACTCTGTTTTGGAAGACACAGCCTACCTGCCTGCAGACTTGAGCTCAACTATAGAAGCAATATTGTTAGAAAGTCTCCTTGGACTTAAATGCATTTTCCTCTAACGCTTTTCTTTCCTCCCTAGCAGTGCGCAAGGGGTACAGGATCCAGGCTGACAAGGAGAGGGACTCCATGAAGGTGCTGTACTATGTCGAGAAAGAACTGGCGCAGTTTGACCCAGCTAGGAGGATGCGAGAACGATGTGAGGAGCAAGCATGGTTTGATTTTTTTTTTCCCCACTGTCCTTAAAAAAAGATAATGCAAATTCATAGTTAAAAGTTCACTAGCTTTGTCCTAGAACCAGCCTCTAGGTTATTGTGTCCAGGATATAGTACTTAGGGCAGATGAAGTCTAGATTTTAGGCATCTACAGGTATGTTCTGATTTTAAAGATCTGCTGCTTACCTAATCATCCTTAATTAGAGCAAACAATGTGTGGGAGACTCAAACGTGCATGAAAATTGTCCTCTTATATAGTTTTGGATCATTAACATCTGAAAACCCAAGTCTGTACTCATGCCTTTTACAGCCTGTGGTGTGATGATAGCTGGGATATTGTCCTCACAACTTCTATATGTCTTACAGTATGGTGCCTGCAAATTGCCAGCATGGCAAAATAGGAGAGGGATGATTTTATTGAAAGTGTGTTCTGTCAGCTGTAGTGGCTACAGTGTGGTTTGAAGGATGCAGAAAGTTTGGAGGGATTACAGGAAAGATTCAAGAAACCAGGGGGTTGTCAGGTTTTGTCTCACTGGACAACATAAGATCAGAGGTGGTGCACGCATCAGTACTGACAGCTTGGCTGCCACACAACTGTAGGCGAAGGGGAAGAGAATAGAGACAGGATGCAAACTCAGAATTGAGCTTATGTGTGGAACTTCTCACTGTCTTCCAGTAGCCTCTTGCAAGCTTTATTTCCCAAAATAAAGGCTGAGGCTGCACTTAAAGGGTGTCAGAATACAAAGCCAAGTGAGGATCTTAAAATTAGGAGGCAGAGGTGCAGTGGTGGGACTGAGTGTGTGCATGAAGAGGGCTTGCAGTGCTGCTCTTTGTCCTCCATCTGTTCTGTGTGGAGGACAGGCAGCAGACTCGGGGTTCAGTTCCTCTGGGCAGTGTCTGAATCAGGCAGAGCTAACCCACATTAGGCACTGGTAGAGGCTCATTTGAAACAAATGCACGAGATCCTGCAAATCAATGAAGGTAAAGGCTTTAGGGAATGACACCACATCAAAGCTCTGTACGGATTAGGCATAACTAACAAATTATATGTACTTCTAAAACAGTCATTGCCGAGCACACTGTCTTCTCCACCCACAAGATTTACTATAAAAAGACCTCCCCAGATTGGTATGTCAGGCCTCCAGATGTCAATGTGCTTGACGGGGTAGAGACTGACAGTGATTCAGACAGTCTCTTACTTTTTTCTTAATCTTTTTTTGAGGGGGTTGGTTTTGTTTTAGCTGGGCAAGTCAGGCCAAATTCATAGCCAGCCTGTCTCACACCAGGAAAGGGGGAGGTGGCACAACTGCTGTGATGGGGTTCCACCAAGTGCAGTGCCCACCTTGTGAGGGCGGAGAGCTCACGTACTACTGAAGCAGGGCTGAAGGGGGATTTCTGCATGAAGGCTGAACTCAGTTTTCTGGGACACAAGCATATGATGCCATTTGTGATACCCTTAGAATATCCCACCTGTAGGTTTAAGAGCACCAGTATGTCCAAACTGAGCCTCAGGAGTCTTGGGCAAGAATGGTGAAGGGTTTGGAGAAGGGACTTGGATTCCACTTGGATTTTTTTTCTAACAGAAGGCAGCTCAGCTTCTTTCTGAAGAAGCTGAAGCTGGGCCCACCACAGCCTTCCTGTCCTCTCCTGCCCTCTCACACGTGCTATCAGATGATGCCTGTCTCATTTCTTTTCTGCAACCTCCCCTGCAGATAACAACACCATCTCTGAACTCAGCTCCTTGCATGAGGATGACTTGAACTTCCGTCAGCCCTACCGCCAGGCGCGAAGGAAACCTCTGCCTCCTGCGGGGGACCTGGATGGCGATGCTGAGTACTGGGCAGGAGTGATGGGTGGGGGCAGCACGTCAAGATCACAGGCTGTCTCTGATTACAGAGATGAGCGGGACAGTTTCCGGCACAGGTGAGGAGTGCTGTGTTGGGAGGCAGCTATATCTGGCAAAGCAGTAAAAAAAAAAAAGGAGAAGGAACCGATGGACTGGTAGCTCTTCTCCATTTCCTGCTGTTCTGGTTCTGCTTAGCAGGACAGAGAGGTTAGAGAGAAACAGGAAATCTGGAGATGTCATTAGATGAGGTTAGAATGAATCTGATTCCCATAACCCTGCTGAAGCCTACCCAGGTGGGAAAAGCCAGGTGGGATGTAAAAGTGAGGTCAATAGGAAACCAAGCCAGACTTCCCCAAGTGCTCTCTTGAGATTTGTACCTGATCCCTCCAGCGCTTCCCAGTGCTGGTGCGCTTTATTAGGAGTCACACCCTGGGGCTTTGTTGCAGGAAGATCTGTACTCTGAATGGCTGGCACTCTGGTGCCTGTAAGGGAGATACCACATCCCTCCCACACATACCAGCAGCTCAGTCTCCCAAAAGCAATGGCAGGGATTTCCTTCCCTCAGTACTAGGCTATTGTGCCAGTTCAGTCTCTTTAAACCTGCTCCCAAATTGCCCTGCTGTGAGCTTGTGTAGCCAGGTTCTTGGTTGTTCCCAGCAGGACATACACCTACAAGTTTTGGAGCCAAGGAGAAGCAAATCCAGCCCCGCACACTGGAGGACGAGGGAGGTGTACTCTGAGGTTAATCTTGGGTAATACTAGACACGTAGAGTCCGAGTTATCCATGCTAAGCTGCCTTTACAGTCAGCAGAGAGAAGTAGGGATTTCGAGGATGTAATGCATCTCTTCCCATAGAAGATGGTGAAAACAGATCAGATGATTGATGCCCCAGGAGTGCCTGTTTCCCTCCATTGTCTGTGACGGCAGCTGAGGGAATGAGCACAGCTGAATCCTGCCCTCTAACGCTACCTCTTCCCTCCTCCAGCCAGCAGAGATCCAAGTCCGAGATGTTGTCCCGTAAGAGTTTCTCTGTGGGAGTGCCGGCCGTCTCTATGGACGAGCTGGCAGCCTTTGCGGAGTCCTACAGCCAGCGGACCCGGCGGGCAGACAGCCAGGAAACTCGGCGTTTCGAGCGGTCGGAGTCGCACGGCGGCCGCCTCGGAGGGCTGCCCCACCAGGATAGCTCCATGGAGGAGTACTACACCAAGCGTAGCAGAGGGAACCGAGAACCGCTGACGGACTCAGATCGGGGCTGGTCATACAGCCCGCCCCGGAGACGGGCCCACGAGGAAAAGCACCTGCCCAGGCTGGTGAGCCGGACGCCTGGAGGGAGCCAGAAATACGATCACTCCTACCTCAGCAGCGTCTTGGAGAGGAAATCCCGCAGCTACGATGAGAATGGTGACCACAGTGAAACCCCCTCAAAGCTGAGCTCGCAGCCCAGCCAGAGAGGAGGGGGAACATACTATGCCTGGTCACCACCCTCTACCTACAAAGCCGAGAAGTCGCAGCAGCAGCCGCAGCAGCCGCCGCCGCCTCAGCAGGAGGAAGGGGAGGACACCCTGCCCCCATACAGCGAGAGGGAGCTGAGCCGAGGCCCTTCGTACCGGGCCAGGGAGCAGGCCTACCTCAACGCCTCTGACAAGAAGAGGAAAAAGGACCCCAAGAAAACAGTGAGGCCATGTCTGGTGTTCCTGATCCAAATAGGCTGGGTGGGGAGCCACCAGGAAGGGGTTACTAACCGGAGCTTAGGGGTAGGGGGGCTCTCCAGGAGTGTAGAGCCTGGAGTCTGAGCCTGGGGAACCCCAGATAAGGGGAGTCAGTGTGGAGGAGGGCAATCACTGTGTGTAGGAGGCTGGAAGGGGAAATAGCTTCACAGGACTCCATCATGGAGGGGAGAGACAGATGTGCCTGTGACAGGGGAGATAAGGGATGTTTCTGGCACCTGTGGCCTGCTAATCCAAGGAAATGGGAGTTCATCTAGGGCTTAGAAGCATCGTGGTAGGGAAGGGAACTTAACCAGGGCTTACAGAAATTACAGGGAATTGCATTGACCTCGATCCTTGTTAAAGAAGGGTTGAGAGATTCTGTTCTGGACTGGGACAGGGCTAGTAGCAAGGCATGGTGTAAAAGACCCTCAGATCTTCTTGAGAGGGGCGAGATGACAGACTCCGGTGGGTGCATGCCCATGGGCATTTGTAGGGCCCATGCATGCCAAAGGCATTCCTCACACAGGATACCAGCAAGTGCAGAACATCCTGCCACAGTCTAGTGAAGACTGATGAGTGTATGGTTGTTGGGGAAGGAGAGCCGGCTGATGCCTGTTCCATGAGGGAGACCGTGTCACTAGAGCAGCTTGGCTGTTAGGCCTGAGCTGAAATGGTACACGTGAGACAGGAAAGGGGTGTGAACGGACAAGGCTGTTGCTGTTCGGTTGCGTCTCTGTCTCTTTGTCCATTCCATGGGTGCTTTCCTGTTGACATTTGTCTTCTCTCTTTCCTCTCAGAATGATTTCCCAACGAGGATGTCCCTTGTGGTTTGAAGTTGTTGTGGACATGTCATGTTGATGGGCTGGATACTGTGAGGGGACTGGTGGAAAAGATGCAGAGCAACAAGCAAGACACCTCTGTGAACCTTCACAGCTCCCAGCCATGGACTCTTTGTTTCAATTGTTTGTTTCATCGGGGGAGCAGAGGCTTTTGTAAGAGACAGACTCCCATGAGCAGCACTCCATCTCAGAGGCTTTGGGAGTCTGCCAGGAAAATGAGGCCAGGGCTCTCTTTGGCACCCTGCTTTCCAGTGCCTTCCATTCTGCGCTGGAAGGCAGCCACGTCCCTACTGTCCCCACAGCCCAGAACTATAAGTGAGGTGCCTTTGTGCCTCGTGCCCTGTCTGATGTGCAGAGAAAGGCCCATGTTGCGTACCTTTGCGCTCTCTGTCTCCTCAGTTCTCTGTTTGGATTAAATATTGTCTCCTTAGAGCCTTTTCTGGATCATCCCTGTGCTGGGAGGAGGCCTGGTTCTTACAGTTGCAGACTGCCTCCAGCTGATCAGGCCCTAAATCCTGAAAGAAAATCTACATCCTTTCAGACACTATAGAAAAGGACTGACGAGGTGTTACTTTCGCAAGGGCTGAGTAGAGAGAGAGACACAGTTATGGGCTGGTTTGTTCAATATATTTAGTTTTGTTCAATGTGTGATGAGAGTTGCAGGTGAGATTGATGTATTGTTTTGAAAGTGGATCAAAGTAGCTTTTATTGTGATGAGAGCATGATGTATTTTTCCCCCATCCCCAACTGTGATTTGTTTTGATACAGTTGCATTTTCTTGCAGCTGAGCTGTGACCTTGTAGAGCTTCAAGCTAGAATATCTACTCCACCATATCATAAGCAGCGCTCTAGCCTTGCTGGCGCTCTGCTTCCAGCACCACCAGACATCTCTGCCTAGCAAGCGGCCTTTCTGTTTTAAAGATGCAAAAAAGGGGAAAGTGTGAGAGGGCAGCTGCAGAATCTTCACTCTGTGCTACTGGTAACATACCTTTGTTACGTCATTGTTTCCAGACGTGAAGAGAGCAGTCACAGCAATGGAAAAAGGGTTAACACTGTGGATGAACACAAGCTTCGGAAGTCATGTTTTTTACTTACAGCCATTTCATTCACTTCAATTGTGACATGGTTTTAGTGGGCTGTTGTCTCAGGAACAACTGAATTTAGAAGTGAGTACTTCACACTGTCTGGAAGCCTGACGTTTTGGTTTTCAAAGGGCATAATGCAGTCATTTCTTTAATTTTTAGCTCCTAAAATAATAATGTGAAGGAAGATGATGGGAAGATTTGATCTCTATTATGCCTAGAAACAACTTAGTGCTCTACTGTGTTATGCCCTACTATTGTCAGCTTCTGAAATGCCATTGCTGTTGTTACTCTGGAAATTTGGGGAGCTGTCTGCCCTCAGGTGCTCACTCTGGCAATACTGTTTTGAAAATGAGATTTATTAGCATCACTGCAGTTCTCCATAAAAATGACAGATTCATTTCTGTATTATTGCTTTGCCATATTAGTTCATTGGGAATGGTCAGAGGAGAGGAAGGATGACATTTGATGATAGCACAGTTTTCATGCTAGATTTGATGACAGCACAGTTTTCATGCTAGAAGGTCGACTGATGAAAGGATGGCTTTCTTCTTCTCCCATGCTCCTCTAGCGATGAATGTAGGTTTGGAAATTCCAGTCCTGGGTCTTCTTGACCAGAGAAGGATTAGTCTGCAGGGGCATACAGTCATGAAGTCATAGAATGGTTTGGGCAGGAAGGGAGCTTTAAAGGTCATTTAGTTCCAACCCCCTGCTATGCACAAGGACATCTTCCATTAGTGCTAGATTTGATGACAGCACAGTTTTCATGCTAGAAGGTCGACTGATGAAAGGATGGCTTTCTTCTTCTCCCATGCTCCTCTAGCGATGAATGTAGGTTTGGAAATTCCAGTCCTGGGTCTTCTTGACCAGAGAAGGATTAGTCTGCAGGGGCATACAGTCATGAAGTCATAGAATGGTTTGGGCAGGAAGGGAGCTTTAAAGGTCATTTAGTTCCAACCCCCTGCTATGCACAAGGACATCTTCCATTAGATCAGGTTGCTCAAAGCCCTATACAACCTGCCTTGAACACTTCCAATGATGGGACATCCACAATTTCTCAGGGCAACCTCTTCTGATGTCTCACCACCCTCATAGTAAAAACATTCTTCCTTATATCTAATGGAAATCTACCCTCTTTTAGTTTAAAACTGGTGCCCCTGGTAAAAAGTCTTTTTCTGTCTTTCTTCTAAGCACCCTTTAAGTACTGGAAGGCGCTATAAGGTCTCCCTGGAACCTTCTCTTCTGCAGGCTGAACGACCCCAACTCCTCTTGTAGGAGAGGTGTTCCAGCTACCTGACTATTTTCATGCCCTCCTCTGCACCAGCTCCAACAGGTCCATGTCTTTCCTGTGCTGAGGGTGTCAGAGCTGGATGCAGTACTCATGGGGTCTCACCAGAGCAGGGTAGAGGGGCAGAATCACCTCCCTTGACATGCTGGCCACGCTTCTGATGCAGCTGAGGATACAATTGGCTTTCCAGGCTGCAAGCACACAGTGTCAGCTCATGTCCAGTTTTCATCTACCAGTATCCCCCAGTCCTTTGCAGGGTTGCTCTGAATCCATTCATCCCCCAGTCTGTACTGATACAGGGGATTGCCCTGACCTGGATGTAGGACCTTGCACTTGGCCTTGTTGAATTTAGTGAGGTTCAATGGGCCTACTTCTCAAGCTTGTCAAGGTCCCTCTGGATGGCATCCCTTCCCTCTAGTGAATCAGCTACACCGCTCAACTTGGTGTCATCTCCAAACTTGCTGAGGGTGTACTCAGTCCCACGGTCTGTTGCATTAATAAAGATGGAACAATATCAGTCCCAGTGCGCACCCCTGAGGGACACCACTTGTTACTGGTCTCCATCTGGACATTGAGCCACTGAATGCAAGTCTTTGGATGTGGCCACCCAGCCATTTCCTTCTCCATTGAATAGTCCATCCATCAAACCCTTATCTGTCCAATTTAGAGACAAGGATGTTGTGTGGGACCATGTCAAAGGCCTTACACAAGTCAAGGTAGATGGTGTCAGTTGCTCTTCTCCTTATCCACCAATGCAGACACTCCACCATAGAAGGCCTCCAGATAGTCAGGCACAATTTGCCCTTTGTGAAGCCATGCTGGCTGTCTCTAATCACCACCCCGCTATCCATATGCATTGACATACCTTCCATGAGGATCTGTTCCGTGATCTTACTGGGCTTAGAGGTGAGGCTGACTGGTAGTTCCCAGGGTCCTCTTTTTTACCTTTTTTTTTTTAAAAATAGGTGTGATGTTTCCCTTTTTCCCATCACTGGGGACTTTGCCTGACTGCCATGACTTTTCAGATAAGGAGAGATGCTTACCAACATCTGCCAACTATATCTACTTGTATTATGGCTGGAGAGACTAATTTTTAAGTATTCTCATATTTTCTCATCTTCAATGTATGTTCCTAGGAAAATTACAGCACAGTTACCAAGAGGTAGGTAGGCGGTTGCCATCTGAGGTCTCCATGGCCTTGAACGTTTACAGAGCTACACTACATGTTATTTTAAATTAAACGTTTCATCCCTGACATATGATGATACTAGCAGCAAGAAATGTTGATGTTTTGTTAGTCTGAAAACCTTGGGAACCCCTATGTCACGAATTTCAAGGGTGTTTAACCTCTCTTTTCCATCAGTCATCCAGCAAACACATGAAACATTTCATATCATAAACGTTTTGAAAATGCATCTGCAACAATGGCTGTGTCAGAAAGGGGCCAAAGCAGCGATTTAACAGTCTCTGAATACCTCTGTCTTTTAAATCCTACTGAAAGCCGGGGCGTCACAATCTCCTCCTCATTTCAGTTAGGTCTGTCCCTTATCTCTACAGTCACTGTAGTTAATTTGATCAAGCCCTCGGAAATGAGTTATGCCTATTAAAAACACAAGCCTTCCTCTCCTTTATTTGAATCTTTTTTGTTTGCTCAATGCTGGTACTTTAGGCCATTTGTACACTATGTATAGGAAGTTGCCATTTATGTATCTAGCTTATAAATAAGTAGTTGCAAGTTAATTCTCTTAAGAAAACTATTTTAATTGTAGAAACAGCTGTTCATAAGGACTGTCCAACATTTCTTTTGTATACAAGTACCTGGAAAAGTATTGAAGATTTTATGACTAGTGATTTTAAAAGTTTTACCAGATGATAAAAATTTCACCTTCAAAAAAAAAAAAAGGCGGTCTTAATTCCCTGAAGTTAGATCTGGCAGAACCCATCAGTTGGCCCTTTGCTCTCAAATTTTAAATTTCTTATCTCCCTATACAGATCTGAAGGAATTTTCAGTTATGGATAGTGTCTTTCCTCAGGCCATCTTTATTTTTCCCGTTAGAAACATGTCTGCAGGAGCACTGAGTGGGCCAAATCAAACAGGGAGGGGTGACCTAGAGTAGGGATTCCATCTCCATAGCTACACAACCCTCCTCATCCCTGATGCTTGCACTAGAGAGGAGCAGAGGGACGGAGGCTGAGAGAAGACTCTTGTTCCCGAAAAGAAGTAATGGTTTGTGTCTGCGCCCTCTTTCAGAACACCTGCAGAATGCTGGCACTGGAAAATAACGAGCCTGATCGTTAACGGGGTCTCAAATTATAAATTTTCCAGTGATCAATTTTTATTGCTGGCATAAAATTAAAATCCTTTTCATACAGGATATGGATGTCTGGGTCATGTCAAGGGCATGGGTGGTTTTGTGGCCTTAAAATGAAGCATCACAACAGTGACTTGCTAAGAAGAAAACTGAGACGAGTGAAACCTGTAAAAAAAAAATTTAAAAAAGCGCCCTTAGAACAACAGCAGGACAAGCATCAGTGGTAAATTTGGCTGTGCTGTCAAAAATGTGATCTGCGCTACTGGAAAAGGTTTTGACATAATGGAATGAGAAAATAAATACCACTGATAATGACTTCTCACCAATCCCATTATTCCTTTAAATTACACTGTAAAAATTCTAGGGTGTTGTTTCAGTGTGAATATCCTCAGACCACTCAATTTCCACTGAATTGGAAAATTAACAAAACTAGCACTTTGCATACTTATAAAAGATGAGAAACTCCAACATCTATCACCTGCGAAAGGCAGCCAGAATTATTCAGGTCTATGTGCTGGCACGTAATGTAGGGGACAGGAACAGTAAGCCAGCCTTTGTTGCTGTTATTATGTCAGAGAGGGCCATCAGCAGTGCCCCAGCCCCACCTCATCGTCCCTGCAGCCAGCATGGGCAGCTCTGCGTGCTGAGTTTCCCCGAGAGGTCCCACCTCCTGCTCTGATGTCTGGGTCCCTCCGTAGCTCACTGACTTGTGGTTTTCATTCTGGCTTGTGACTCTGCTGCCTGTGGATCAGCAGTTGCGCTGCTTTCCTGACCTTTTCCAACAAGCTCCCTCTGGGTGGGCAAGTCCAGTTCACCTGTAACAGAAGTAAGACAAATGGTTTTGCAATCACCAAAGACACTTTTACATGTCAGTCTTCTCCAGAACTACCTAAAACTAGCGAGAGAAATTTGAAGGAGGGAGTAGCAAAGAAAGTATCAGGCGTTGTAAGACGGAACTGGCCTTTTGCAGGGAGGAGAATAGGGACATTCTGTGAGCGTGTTTTTCAGGGAGTATCAGGGGAGTTACCCATACATGGATGCCATTACTGGGGTGTGATCAGCTTCCTCTGGTAAGAGTGATCTGACATTGTGCAGAAGAGCTTTGCTTGGTGAAGCTGCCCAGCCCACTCCTACGGTTCCAGGTTGTCTTGAGCAAAGTAACTGCTAACTCTCCATGTCCTCAAAGAGGACTATGTCTCTTGACACAAGGTCCCTCCCAAAGCTTCTCTGAAGAGATGCAGGACAGCCCCTGGGGTGTAGAAATACAGATCCCTGAAAAGGAGCAATCACAGAACATTTCAGAAGTCAAACCTAAGCACAGACTGTTACAGGTACATAAACACACCACAGCAGTTGTTTATTATGCCTGGGCTATTCTGAAAATAAATTTAATGTTGAGATTGTTTTGCTGAGAAACCGCTTGGAGCTATCTTCCTTTTTCTCCAGGGAGCTCTCATACAGGGTTGGGGGTGAGAATCTGTTCTGTGCCCAGGGTTTGGGACATGGAAACAGAAGCTAAAGGGGCTTTAGCTCATTCTTTCACTGGGTCCAGGAGCAAAGAGACCTTTGGCATAAGCCAGATGCTGCAAATCTGACCCTATGACTCCGGCAATCTCTGGTACAGCATCTCCATCAGGCCATACGTGCTTTCTACAACAGCTGTGATGTTGAAACCACCAATTGTCACTTGGGGCTCCTAAAGCTCCTTTCCCATTGCCTGGGAGATCATAAAATAGACACTTTACGTAATGTGACATGACAGCTATCATTTTTATATGATCTTAAAAATGCCAGCTGGATTACCAGCA